TTAAACCTATGAAACACAACAGAAGATTGACATCAACCGTCGCATGAAACAGAACAACAAAAGAAAGAAAGAAAAAACGAAGAACATATAATACCCTCCCCTTGAAGGAGATTCAAGGAGCGAAAATCCAAAGCACAGAAATCGGAGAATCGCATAAAAAACGTACTGCGAGCAATACCGGACATTAATTCGCCCCGGAGAAGAGCCAATGAAATGCGACGGAGCACAGAAAACAACAGAAAAGAAGAAAAAGAAAAAGGAGTGTAAAGCAGAGAATATGGATCGATGTGAGGGAATCGAATTTCCCTATTCTTCTTCAGTGCAGTGGTTACAGAATGACTGATTGGAGACTAGAGAGCAGCGTGAGTGGGTACGCAGAATCGCTGATTATTACGTACAAAAATTTCAAGCCAACAAAAGATACTCCCTCCTTTTTTCTGTAAAAGTTGCCAATAGGGGTTGCGCATTTGGCAGTTCAAAGAGTAAGATTCAAGGTCGATTCCTGATAGCTGCATTAAGAGGCAACTATGTTAAACATGGGATCTCTGCAAGTATCAAGTGCAAGCTTCACTTTTTGTCATCAATCTGCGATTAAAGTCTAATTTATCTCCTCTTAGTAATCGTCTGACCAGGTCTAAGGGGCCATAGGAAATAGGACTCATCCTGTTTTTTTGTAAACGTTTCATTACTCCATATTTCTTTTTTTTCCTTTTTTGTTCTTGTAAGACGAGGGTTCATTTTTAAAAAACAATAAAGCTAAATGGTGTATCTTATTTGTCACCATGCCAACAAAGTCTATGGACCATACACATGTGATGTCTTTATTTTAGTATGATTGTCTAGTGTATGGATAGAGTATATCTTAGAGCTCGTGCAGAAATCATTAATATATGTATTGGTTTTTAGCATGATTTTCAAGTATAAGTTTTAATAAATGACAAATAATGAAGTCAAGATATTGCAGTTGATAAACAATTTCGTTATAATGTACTACTGACGGTGCATTCAATCTATTTGACCATTAGGATTTAAAGCTCTATTACTTTGACTAATCAAGATTTGATAAAAAGTTAGTTCATAGTACATCACATTATATTTTCTGTTAAGATTTTACAAGTCTCAAATTATTTGAAATATTTAAACTATATTTTTTAATCACGTATTTATTAAATTTCAATACTTTTACTTTTAAAATCTAAAGTAATTATTACATCTTTGTTAAAAAAATACTTTATTTCAAAACATTTTGTTCATTTGAATTAACAATTGTAGTCTACATATTTTTGTAACATTTGAATATTAATTTTTAATTTATTACACCTGTTTCCAATGATCAAATATTTAAAATTTTATACATACTTTAATTCATAAATAATTTTAAAAATTAATAAATACTTTAACTTTAAGTTTTATATAATTTTTTAAATGTAAAATAATAAAGAGTTAAATATGTTTAAGGTCTATCTAAATAACTTTTTATAAACATATTTAACTCTTTATTATGATGATAAAAACAATTTGTAACATACTTGAAAGTAATTTATTCTAAATGTGATATAATAAAGATTTAAATATGTTCATGTCTATTTAAATCTAAAATAAATTTTGTATTTTGAAATGTTTTACAATGATGAAAATATAACTAAGATAATGTTTTTTTGTGGGAATGATAATGAATTTTTTATAACAACTAAGGTAATGGATATTTTTTATTTAAATTTAATAGAAAGATAATGGTTATTTAAGTTTGAAAATGAAAGGTTAGAAAGCAATTTTTTTTAAAATTTAATTTTCATTATTTTTTAATGGAATGCAATAAGCATATTAATAATCATAATGATTATTTTATGGAAAACTGATTATCTATATTAAAAAGTTCAAAGTCAGGAAATGAAAGATTTGAAATATATATTGAATAATGTAGGATCTACGAGTTTTTAGCAGAAAACATAAAGTACTCGATTGTAAAGTATGACGACGTTCACTCTTAACAATCAAATGAACGACTTTTGAAATATGTTACTACAAATTTTAAGAGTCCATAAAATATACTCCGTATAATTGTCTGGTTATAACTCCAAATTTAATATTTAACCGACAATATTTTTTTAAGATATATTAATAAAAAATTATTAAAGATAATATTTTAAGAAAATTTTATGATATCCATAACTTGATATAATTTATATTTAATTCATCATATATTTTACACATAACTTAATAAACATTTGATACGCAAAGCGAAACAGATTTTTAAAAAGGAAAAGCAAGGTAGTAGAAGTAAATTTTTTGTAAACCTGACTGGTCAACCAGTAAATACTCCGCAAATCACGAGAGGGGTGTAATTAGTAATTATAGAAAAGCGAGGGGGCTGTAAAGCGAAAGAACAAAAGACTCCCCTTCAATTGGCATTTGGCTTCAAGCTCCAGCAATCTCTCTCTCTCTACTCCCGATTCCTGGAAGCGTCAGAGGGTGGTTGATCTCAGATTCCGCTTTCGCTTTCTCGATACACCTAACATCATTCCGTTTCGCCGTATAATTACCTGATCGATCGATCGATTCATTGATCGGCTTCTCTGAATCACTTCGCCGGAGATGGATGAAGAGTACGACGTTATCGTGCTGGGCACTGGTCTCAAGGAATGCATTCTCAGCGGTCTCCTCTCCGTAGATGGCCTCAAGGTTCGTTCTTTGTCGCCATCCTTTTATTCTCTGTTTTTCTCCTGCAATTTTAGTTGTTTCTGCTGTTCTCATCTTCCTATAAAAAGTTGTTTCTTCGGCTGAAATGGTGAGATCGGATCTTCTTCATGCGCCGGTTTGGTAGAGTAGAACCTCCAATTCATTATGTTTTTGTAAACCGTAGCAGTTTTGCGGTGTTATATGAATGGATCCAGCCAACTTTGTTCGGGAGAGCTAAGAAGAAAGGGGCTTATGAATGAAATGAATCAAGCATGTTATCAGTGTGATTTAATGTGCACTCCTGCTATTAAATGGAGTTCACTTCAGTAGATTCTTAATAATTGATGAATGATATCATGGCACTTTTTTACCCATGCTGTTTTAGTTTGTGGAACATTATTTTGAGGCGCAGGCAGTAAATCCTGCAATGGTATGGTTCAAGTACCTGATGTAGTTTTTCTATGATATGGGGAATGTTACTTTGTATATTTGCTGTCATTTAGAGTCTCTGTTCATGATAAGACCAGCAACTTTTTTTCTGTTAAATTTTTGTTATCATGGATTTTTTTGTTAACTGCTCCTTCATAATCTTTATAATATGGTGAATAGGTTTTGCACATGGACAGGAATGACTACTATGGAGGAGAATCCACTTCTCTTAACCTTGTTCAGGTGTTTGTCTGGAATTTTTTCTGCAATATTCACTTATCCAATGGAAACTATATTCTCTGAAAAGTATGAAAAATGTTTCAAAATGCATTGTTTGATTAAAAAATATTTAATGTCCAGCTTTGGAAGAGGTTTAGAGGCAGTGAAAAACCACCTGCTGAGCTAGGATCTAGTAAGGAATACAATGTCGACATGATTCCCAAGGTAGCACATTTCTTTTCACTATGTGTAGGTTTCTTTATGTTTTTTGGGGACATTTTTTACTAGGTGATCTGTTACTCTTGCAGTACATTTTGGCAAATGGCGCTCTTGTACGGGTTCTTATTCATACTGATGTTACTAAATATCTATACTTCAAAGCTGTTGATGGAAGTTTCGTGTATAACAAGGGAAAGGTATATGTTATTCCTCCAATATGGCAATATGTTTAAACTAAAGGGTGTTTGCGCGAGCATTTCTCTGTGGATTTTGGATTCTTTTACCTTTTCTATTCTCAGTACTTAATAAATTTGTGCAATAGGTCCATAAGGTGCCAGCAACCGATATGGAGGCCCTTAAATCTCCACTAATGGGCATTTTTGAGAAGCGCCGTGCTAGGAAGTTCTTCATATATGTTCAAAATTATGATGAGAGTGATCCTAAAACGCACGAAGGAATGGACCTAACTAGAGTGACAAGTAGGGAGCTGATTTCGTATGTTCTCTCCAACTTCTTTTTAGTCCCTTCACATTTATGTTTCTCATTGTTCTATATGTCATCACTTTGTGTTATTTCTTGGTGAAAAAGGATTTTGTTATCCCTCAGTATGATGCCACCTGTCATTAAGGACATACACATTATTTTTTAAAAATCAGGATTGTCAAAGACTTTCAGTTTTCATTCCCACAATCATTTTTTGTGAGTATGCGCCTTCAAAACGAATCCTTCTTGAATCTTGATATAATGTTTATTTACATTACTATTTTTTTAAAAATGGTTAATGCAGAATTACACTGATTTACCTTTTGAGTTTATACGCACACTTGAATCGTGTCCTCTTCAAGGTATTGGTAATTTGCTCTAATAGGCTAAAACAAAAGGGATGTGTGTAGGGCCTACAATTAACTAAGATTGGAGAAAGAAAGGCACCAGTCTATGGTTTATTCAGCTCTCCATTTAAACTTTATTGACTAACATGCTTTTACTCTAATTTCCATGGTGTTTGACTTGGATTCCCATTGTAAAGAGAATTGATGTGGTAACATTGACACATTGTTGATCAATACTCTGTTTATAGTTTATACATAGAATTTGGAGTGATTCCCATATGATAAAGAGCTATGTGCTTTGTAACTTTTCAGTTTTCACACAAGTTCCTTATTGTGCTCAATTGCTCTAAATTTTCTATCAGAAAATTTGGTCTTGATGACAACACTGTTGACTTCATTGGCCATGCATTGGCTCTACAAAGAGATGATCGCTATTTAAATGAACCCGCACTGGACACTGTGAAGAGAATAAAGGCAAACGTTTTGTACTGTTTAACGCCCCCCCCCCCTCTTTTATGAATTTGACTGCTCCAAAGCTGTTGCTTTGAAGTACACGTCGTTATTGATTTTTATTTCTACCATGTTATAGTTATATGCAGCATCCCTTGCACGCTTTCAAGGAGGATCACCCTATATTTATCCTCTCTATGGATTAGGAGAACTGCCACAGGTATGATAACATTGATTTCTTTAAGTTTGTTTTTAGTTGTTACATGCCTTTTTCCTCTTATGAGGTCTATTTGTGTAAATATATAGGCATTTGCACGACTTAGTGCTGTGTATGGGGGAACCTACATGTTAAATAAACCAGAATGCAAGGTATTATATATTTAGGCTATTTTTGGTTGCATGGTGTGGTGAGTCAATCTGTATCTGCAAGGCCTGACCTGGATTCTGCTTTAGGTAGAGTTTGATGAAGAAGGCAAGGTTATTGGTGTCACATCTGAAGGAGAAACTGCAAAGTGCAAGAAGGTTGTATGCGATCCTTCCTATCTAACCAACAAGGTAAATTGTGTCTTCAACTTGCTTCTATACCATTTTTGGCTTCACTTGGTTTGACTAACGTGAAGCTTATGATGGCTTTAACATGAATAATTTTCACTTGTTTCATGTTTTATTTCCGTATACTATATTTGTGTGTAAAGGTCAATACTATCGGCCTGTATGGTTGGTCTTTATGTCTTTTTCTTCCTTCTACATATACTGGGCTAGGTAACATGAGAGCGTGATGTATGACAGGTTAGAAAAGTTGGAAAGGTTACAAGAGCAATTGCAATAATGAGTCATCCAATTCCAAATACCAACGATTCACACTCAGTTCAGATTATACTTCCCCAGAAGCAGTTGGGACGCAAATCAGACATGTTAGTTTTTGGCTTCGTTTGGAAATCCTATATATTGTCATACAAATCTTATTAGGGTTTTTTAGTACTCAATATTAACTTATTTGACTCCATTAGCTGATGTGGGTGTTATACAATAAAACAAAGCGTGAATTTTTTTAGTTGTTGAAGTGCTTGAAATAAAACGAAACAAGTGTGTGTACACAACTCTACTTTTGTGGGATTTTTTGGGTCTTTGTTGAAGTGATTGAAATAAATATCGGATCTTGGATATAAGTTTTGTGTACACAACTCTACTTTAGGAAAAAGTTTACCAAAAAATTTAAAATTAATGTGTTAAGTTTATTTTGAGACACAAGGAAAAAGTGAGGTTCTTTATGGGATCAAGCGGGAATGTTTTTACAATTTTTAGCCCGATTAAATAATTCAATTATTTTCGCTACAAATATAGTCCAACAGAACAGGCTTAAAAGAGATTACTTTTATGCTGGATTGTCAACTTCACAATTAAGAACTACTGTGCAAGGAAGCTAGTTTTTGTTGGAATTTGTTCGAATTTTTGTTTGGGCAGGTATTTGTTCTGCTGTTCCTACACTCACAATGTTGCTCCAAATGGGAAATTCATTGCATTTGTTTCGGCTGAGGCAGAAACTGATCACCCTGAGAGTGAATTGAAGCCTGGAATTGATCTTCTTGGGCCTGTGGATGAAATATTCTTTGAGACTTATGACAGATATGAGCCCGTCAATGAGCCGTCCTTGGACAACTGTTTCATTTCTACGGTGAGAGTCTCTCTATTGATGTTTAAAGCTCTACGTCGTCGTCATCATCATCATCATTTTTTTGTCTGACAAGTCTCTCCACCTCTTCTTCTACAGAGCTATGATGCCACAACTCACTTTGAGACAACTGTAGATGATGTGCTGAACATGTATACTTTGATTACCGGAAAGGTAAATATAGAAAATAGCTCTTTTACATCAGCTATGATTTAAGACCAATTTACACATCTTACACACACACACATTCTCCACGTGCTTGTCGTGCTAATACAATACTATGGTATACAACTATTATTGCAGCCTGGTTTAGTCCCTCAATTATAAATTACTCCATTTGGCCCTCGACTCTTTTTGGACTCAATCTGGTTGTGAGTATGAAATATGGACCTAATTAAGTGAGCACATGAGATGAGTTTTGAAATCTTCCTTTATTAAAAACCTTTTGGTGGTGTTTGGTGAATTCTAAACATGGTTTGGATTAGATATCTCTCGATACTACAATCCTTCCAAATAGCCGCCCACCGTTGCTGACCACCACCGCCTCCGACCACCCTCACTTGTCACAATCTTATCAGATCTCTCCAAATATTTTTATTTCAAATTACAGAACTCATATCATATCAACTCTGCATAGCTCCCCAAATAGGACTACAACTTTGTTTTCTGTTCGAAAACAATTACTCTTACTATATTTGGTTAAATTTCTGCGGATAATAAACTTTTTTGTTTTTCGGGCAGGAACTTGATCTCAATGTGGATCTAAGCGCTGCTAGTGCCGCGGAAGAATGAGGAAGGGACGCATGCTTTTTGGTCTGTCGAATGCATTCCCATCTTCTCCGGCATTGCTATAGTTACACTCCTATGGTGACATACTGAATTTCTAATATATGGTCTTGCTGTACTATACTTTCTTACTGCTCCCTACCTGAGTTTTTATCCTTATTTCTTTTGGTCTTTTTTTTTTTTTTAAATTTAAAAAATCTCATGTTGTGTTTGAACCATGGCCTGTTCCTAGTTACAGCATATGCTATGTTAAATTTGCACTGCCATTACATGTGTTACTACTATATAATTAGCCATTCCCGCTGAATGTTTCATATTTATTGTTTGCCCTTTTTTATATACTCCGTGGGGTAGATGTTTTTTGGTACTGATAAGACTGTTTGGAATAAATAGGGAAAGAAGTGTGTGGAGAGTAGACCTTAATTCTTTGAAAAGAAATGAAGGAGAATTGTTGAAAGAAAGGAAAAAGGTCTCCAAGTCCATGAATAATTTCTGTACTTCTATACTAGTAATACATACTGAGTATTTTTCAACCTACAATATCCTCTTGGCTCTTGGGGGCATGGAGAATACGCTCACGAAGTACTCCATATCAATTAAAAAGACTTGATACATTCAGTTTACCTATGTTTTGAATAATACGGAGTATATATTATAAGAGCACTAGAAATGGGTGTTACGCCCCACCCTCCTCCCCCCACATCAAATGGGTGTTTAAAACAGTTATGACATTATGCATCTCCTGTGGCATTATTATGGCATTCATAATTAATTTTTAAAATACTTTTTTTTTATCAAATACTATATGCTTTTATTGATTTATTTTCTTTTATGATTAATACCGGAGTATGAATAATTATGCCAAGACATTATTTCCATGTCAACGATAGTAGAATTTGACGTCATGTCTAAGAGTTAAGAGCAATGGTTAAGAGAGTAACAAGGACCTGCTTGAACAAAAACTTGGTCTAAGTTGTTTTTATTTTAAGTACATGGATTGATTTGAACATTTTTAAATAATACGGAGTACTCGGGTAAAAGAACGAGTATTTAACACAGTTATGACATTATACACCGCCCTCCTCCCCCACATCAAATGGGTGTTTACCACAGTTATGACATTATACACTCCCCTCCGTGGACCAAAAACTGCCCAGAATATTCCTCCTATTCCTCTTACTTCCCCCGTTTCTAGCGGCAACGTTTCATTTCATCCCTTTTGACTGCCCATTTCCTTTTCTTGTTGAGCAAGATGAAAGAAGGGAGCAAAATGGCAATTTTCTCGGGTCCCATGGTCGGCGCCAAAATGATGGTGTAAATTATCGATCGGTATACCATTTTTAGCTAGACAAAAGTAACAAACTAGTCTAAAAAATACACCAAAATACGGAGTATAAAAATAAGAATTTTGATGTGGAAACCCAATCGGGAAAAAACTACGAGGCTTTTTTAGCGGTACTTTGCCATTGGTGGATTTTTATTAATATTGGATTTGTACACTACATAATTTAGGCGTAGAAGCCATTAATGATTCGTAGAACTATAAGCTCAATGAAGAAGAAAATATAAAATCTAAAGAGAGAGAGATAAATATGCAGGGGAGAGTGATGAGAGGAGCCCCCTTGATGAAGGAGAGCCCTCCTTTTATAGGAGTAGCAGGAGCATCTACGAGAAATATTCTCTTATTCCTCTATTTTATTAAATAGGCTCGGTTTGAGTGTTTTTTGTAAATAATTTGAAAATGTGGATCGAGCTACACATTATTTTCCATCAAAGTCAATGACACCTTTTGTTTTTCTTATTCTATTATACAAATTTCGTATAAGGCTAATAATAAATCCAAGTATTTTTAGCCCTTATTAAATTTCACTGCCCTATTTTATGAATATTACAAGGCAAACAAACCATCAAGTTATTTTTGGGTGCCCTTTTCATAATTATTATGCGTACCTCAAATTTTATGAAGTACTAGAACCTCGGACGTCCTCTTTTTTTCCTCCTCATTTTTAATTTTTTTTAATTTTTCATTAAATTTAATTATGATGAAATTCGTGTACAATTTTGTTAGGTATTATTCATGTGGATTACGTATAAGGCACAATGGGCTCCGCTGTAGCATTGGAATAGACTGATTGAACTGTTTACGTATACACGTTATATGTATTCCGTTTGGAAGCCTAAGGGTCAAATACCCACTTCACCCTGGGTTCAACTCCCGGCAGCGGAATTTTATTTTTCCCACTCAAGTTTTACTGTTTTAGTCTCCTCTTTATTCATACTGCGCCGATCACAAAAAACAACAATCCCAGAGTGTTTCTCTTTCGGTTGAAGCATTTTCAAAAATCTTCTTTTGTCGAACTGTGATTGACAATGGAAGATGATCTTTACTTGCTTCAACGTGTTTCTAATTATTGTTTTTAACAAAGTTATTTTTTTGAACGAGACAGTTCCCATGACATTGTCCGGCAATGTCATTGGATGATTCTGGAGTACCCCGGTACCCAGTTAGTAAATTTAATGGTACATATCCCCTCTAACCCTATCAGTAAACCCCCTATTCCGCTCCGACCCGAACATACTCTCACCCACTTCAAAATTAACTTGGATGGTGCAATTGAAGGTGGTGTAAATGGGGTCGGGTGTGTTCAGGTCGGTCGGGGTTGGAGGGAGAGTTTACCGGGTGGTTAGGGGCAGGGGCGGACCCAGAACATTTGAACTGTGGAGTCGAAATTTAGAAAATTTATATGCAACCGTCACGCTTCTAACAATAAATAAACAGTATTCTATTGAGAAATTTACCTAAATAGGACTAAAACATAATGACTTTCCCAATATAGGATCATATGTTTTTATTTCTCAATGTAGGACCTTTGGTCATTATGAAGTAGTCATTATTCAAGTAAATATCAATCATTACTGGACATTATTCCTTCCACTAGGTCATTATTAAGTCATATTTAGAGAATAAAAAAAATCTAAGTCCTATATTAGAAAAGTCATTATGTTTTAGTTCTATTTAGTACAAATTTCACTATTCTATACTACCTCCGTCCCAGTATTTGTCCACTTTCATTTTTATACACCATCCAATACACTTCTTTAATCCATTTTATCTTGTAATTTGTATATTAAAATATTATAGAAATTATATACTCCGTATTAATAATCTATATGTTAAGAAAAATCAAACAAGACCACACGGGACTATATTTAGGCTTACATATTGAGAGAATTTGATGAGTCAAAGTGCTTAGATGAACAGTTACAAAAGTCAAAAGTGGACGAATATAGCAGGACAAAGGGAGTATTACATAAGACTAAAGTTTATACTCCGTATATGATATTGAAAATACTAACTAATAATAGTTCTACATTGCAAATGTGAAATACATCTTTGGATTCTCACTCAATTCTTTCTTTTTTAAATCTCGGTGTTTTTTTAAATACCTTTTCATCCTATATTGAAATTTAAATAATTAAAAACAAAATAAACTTAAAACATAACCTAAATATATTAACATATTCACAAATCACAAGCTTAAAAAATAAACGAATTCAATTCTCTATTCTGCTATTCACAATAACAAATTTATAACAATAAATTAAAATTTTCATGATTTACAAATAAAAAAATATATAATTTAGATAATTAGATTCAATAATGTAAGAGAAAAAATCTGGCAAAGTAGAAATGGAAGATGAAGATTTGTTCGAGAAATAAGGGGGTGTCATCTTCCCAAAAATACTCCCTCCGTCCCTATTTATACTGTATGTTTCGGTTAACAATGTTTGACTGAAATTATTTTCAAATCATTTTATATGACAAATGGGATAGAGTTAAAAAATAAAAATTACATATTGAAATACTACTCCCTCCGTCTCAGAGTATTTGTCCAGTTTTGACTTTTGGCACTATTCATCTAAGCACTTTGACTCATCAAATTCTCTCAATGTGTATGCCTAAATATAGTCATGTGTGATCTTGTTTGATTTCTCTTAACATATAGATTATTAATATATAATTTCTATAATTTTTTAATATACAAATTACAAGATAAAATGGATTAAAGAAGTGTATTGGATGCTGTGTAAAAATGAAAGTGGACAAATACTCTGGGACGGAGGTAGTACATCAAAAGATCTACAAAATTAGTGGTGACATTAGTACTTTATTTTATCAAATTGCTAATGAAAATTGATAAAGAAAGTGAATAAAGTTTGACCATGTGAATAGTAAATGTGCATTATAAATTGGGACGAAGGAAGTAATATATACTCATTCCTTTGCATCCTATATTGAAATTTAAATAATTAAAAACATTAAAAACTTAAAACATAACAAAATTATATTAACATATTCACAAATCGCAATCTTTAAAAAATAAACGAATTCAATTCCCTATTCTGCTATTCACAATAACAAATTTATACCAATAAATTAAAATTTTCATAATTTACAAATAAAAAAGAAATATCCAATTTAGATAATTAGATTCAATAATGTAAGAGAAAAAATCTAGCCAAGTAGAAATAGAAGATGAAGATTTGTTCGAGAAATTGGGGGTGTCATCTTCCAAAAAATAATATATACTCATTCCTTTGCATCCTATATTGAAATTTAAATAATTAAAAACATTATAAACTTAAAACATAACCTAATTATTTTAACATATTCACAAATCACAATTTTAAAAAAAATAAACGAATTCAATTCTCTATTCTGTTATTCACGTACAATAACAAATTTATAATAATAAATTAAAATTTGCACAATTTAGAAATAAAAAAGAAATATTCAATTTAGATAATTAGATTTAATTATGTAAGAGAAAAACCTGACAAGGTAAAAATGGGAGATTTGAAGATTTGTTCGTGAAATTGGGGGTGTCATCTTTCAAAAAATAATTGAATATATAATCATCCCCGCAGCTAGTTTCGAATTCAAGACCGCCCACTTTGATGCAAAATGCAGAGCATTCCACTCCTTCAGCGGGTAGAAGTTGTAACTTATAGCGCTTTCACAAATATATACTAAATCTAGGTATACACTAAGAAAATTGTATATATACATACTAAAAAAAATTTATAATTTTTGTGGGGTCGCTTGACCCCGCGTGACCTAACGTAGGTCCGCTCCTGGCTAGGAGGTTGGAATCGTCAAGTTTACGAAGGGGACACCCCGGTGCCCCCGGGTCATCCCATGACATGTGATTCCAATGTCATGGGAACGCCTGCATTATTTCAATTGAGTATATATGAATATTGCTGTGAAATAAAAAAATTACAAATTTAAAAAATAATTCATAAAATCTACAAAG